AGTATCATAAAAGAGACACAAATGCACAATAACCAATTTTAAATATCTATTAATGTTTTTAGATCCACAAAATATATATTTGTTACCTCATACATGCGATGTTTTCATGCCCTTTCTCCATCTGTCACATGTATGAACGTGAGGCCTTCTTTGCATGTGGCCTCACACACACACCCGTTATTAGCATGTGTGTACGTGTGTGTACATGCTCATCAGTATCCCAGTTGAGCTTATCCTGGTGTTAATCATGAGCCTGGTAGTGTGCATGTTAAGTAAGAGAAGCGGAAATAATGTGGTTCAACAAAGGCCCCCCCCCCGCCCATCTGTTACTGTGAGGAGGAGGAAAGAGAAAATCTGCAAAACGCTGCAAATTGAGTCATGAATATTAAATATAACTGTGAAGAGACCCTGCTGAGATCACCACCCACAGAACAGACCTATACATATATTACACTATATATCAAGAATGTGATAATAATAAAACATAATCTAATGCAGCATCAATGAACAACACAACGAGCGCTTCACTGACGTTTGTACTTGACTTAAAGACACAATGAAACACATTTTCATGTTGAAATAGATTTTGATATCCCTGTGCATGTGATCATTTTATAGCAGCAGTCTGTTTATATCCATGAACAAACAAGATGAAGCAGCACTAAACAACCACATCGGATAACAGCCTCACATCATAATGTATTATAGCAGTGATTATCATCTGTATTGTGCATTTAAACTATTTTAATAATAATATATTACTATTCTTCGCACAGTAATAGGTCAGTGAGTCAGCTGTAATTATGAAGCATCGTGAACCTGACCTCGAGTCATTGTGAAATGTGTTGTGGTTATTCTTACAAGGCATAATGAATACTGAAGAGTGCGTATAACTATAATTATACAGTGCTTAAAGCAGATTATTATGCATGCTAACAATGTTTATAAGATGGGAAGTGTGACTCGAGATTCAAGTGGTGAAAAAACACATTTTCTTTTAGTCAAAATTGAGCTTTAACGCTGTGCTTTATATCATGTGATACTGTCTGTGTACAGTATGAATCTTCATTTGAAGCCAAAATGATGCACAGCGGCAGCATATGTGATAACGACACACACACACACACACACACACACACACACACACACACACACACACACACACACACACGCTCACACTGACCTGCCCTACTCTTCTCATATTCAGGTCAGCAGGGTGACACTGTCTTAAACGGCCAATCAGTCGTGTGTTTTGTGAGAGTATACTGTATGATCGTGTGTGTGTGTGTGTGTGTGTGTGTGTGTGTGTGTGTGTGTGTGTGTGTGTGTGTGTGTGTGTGTGTGTGTGTGTGTGTGTGTGTGTGTGTGTGTGTGTGTGTGTGTCATTGTCAGCGCGTGTGTTTTGCCAAGAGTGCAGTAGAGCAGAAAATGTGCAGTGGTTTGGATTAACATGAAGACAACTGACACACAGCGCTTAAAGGAAAGATTATATTCTAATAAACCTCAAAGCAGTGATGCAATGATGAGCAGTCTGTAGTTGATCCATTAGTCTGTAGATGATTCATTAACTTGGAGTTCAATGGACCTTTTTCACTATTTGCTGATATGTTATTCACCAAACTATTATTAAATTATGAAATAGCTGCAGCCTTAGTCCTTATTTGAATTTCGGTTGAGTTTTTAAAAATATTTTGGCCATTTCAAAACCCCTCTTTAAAGGCTGCATCTGATCAGTGTTCCTAAAAACCAAACACAATCGACTTTTGAGTCTAAGTTCATGCAAATGTAATCCCTGACTCATTACGACAAGATCTACACACTTAAATACATCTACAATCGATAGATACCGTTTTTTAAAGAGCATCACATCCCTTTTACATTTGATGTTTGCACAATTATTTCTGTATAAAAGTTAGCGCTGAGCTTCAGTGTGCAATGTTCAAAACAACAGATAGAGCCAGAAATCTAGGTGTAGTCATGGACTCTGACCTGAGTTTCAACAGTCACATTAAAACTGTTACTAAATCAGCCTACTATCACCTAAAGAATATATCTAGGATTAAAAGACTAATGTCACAGCAGGATTTGGAAAAACTTGTCCATGCTTTTATCTTCAGTGACTCGACTACTGCAATGGTGTCTTCACAGGTCTCACTAAAACATCTATTAGGAAGCTGCAGCTGATTCAGAACGCCGCTGCTCGAGTCCTCACTAACACTAAGAAAGTGGATCACTCCTGTTCTGAAGTCTTTACACTGGCTTCCTGTGTGTCAAAGAATAGATTTCTAAATACTGCTGCTGGTTTATAAAGCACTGAATGGTTTAGGCCCAAAATACATTTCTGACCTCCTGCTAAATGATGAACCATCCAGATCTCTCAGGTCTTCAGGGACTGGTCAGCTTTCTGTCCCCAGAGTCAGAACTAAACATGGAGAAGCAGCGTTCAGTTATTATGCTCCAAATATCTGGAACAAACTCCCAGAAACCTGCAGGTCCGCTGCAACTCTGACTACTTTTAAATCCAGCAAGAAGACTTTTCTTTTTGTCGCTGCTTTTAATTGAACTATTTACATCTTAAACTGCACTGTAACTTTTATCCATGTACTTTTTTCTTTTAATGTTTAATTTATTAGCTTTTCTTTTTAATGACTGATTTTAAATGCCATTTTCTTAATGTCTTTCGTTTTTTGTAAAGCACTTTGAATTGCCTTGTGTTGAAAAGTGCTATATAAATAAACTTGCCTTGCCTTGTAGGCAACGAGCCGAATCTGAATCAATATAAATACTCAATATAAATGCATCTCCATTGATCTACAGCAGCTTTAGTATTGTAAAAGCATGTTCAGCATAGTTTTGGATGCGGCGTGTCTTCAGGAGTATTCCTTCCTGCTGGAGTTGCACCTCAGTGTGAGTGTGTGAGTCCGCGGGTCGTTTAAGTGTCCAGAAGCATTCAGGAAATGTCTGGAAGCCTTGGCAGGAATCTGTCCCCAAACAGCGTGAAACTGCTCGGCCCGCACACCAAGTCCTCGCTCTTATTGAGTTATGGTGTGAAATGAATCCCAGAGGATATATAATAAGCCCCGCAGATGTTCTAATGTCTCCCCCTAAGTCTCTTTGTAGTGGTTATTAAAGTTATGAAACAAATTACAAAAGCCATGCGTCTGAAAATGACTTTGGGCTTTAGAGTACTGCGGACTTGTTCCCTTCTGGATTTGATGTTTGCTCTATTGCTCCTAGATGGAAAGGAGACAAATCTGAATTCATATCAATTATTTTATATTGAATTACAGTTTGAAAACTTCGGGTGGCATGCATATAAGAGGTGTCTTGTAAATCCTTTCATTGATCTCTGAGATATACTCGCTTTAAACACAATAATCTGAATAAAGTCACCTTATTTTGACGACGTTTACAGGCACAAAGTATTCCGTTTCTTGACCTATCCTTAAAAATACGTTACTGCTACCGAGCTGCTTACATGATGGACAAGATGCTGAAAAAACTAACTTTTGATGCCTGCATTTAAAGAGGAATATAAGTGTAATATGTATTTTTATAATCCATGCTAATAGATAGATATTTAAATTGTTCAGAAAAAGGGTAGACAAGACAATTCAATATGTTCTGCATGTATGCGTCGTCACTGACTCAGTTTAAAGTGTCTGGTTGGGTGAATAGAAGTAAAAAAGCAGTCTTCCCTTATACTTAATATAAAATCAACTGCCTGTATAACTGTTTTTATGCATTTCTCTGTATTTCACACTTTATGGGATGCGGAGGATCCTTCTCGTACCATGTGATTTACTTCTAACAAAGCGCCATTGTCCTTCTGTTCGTCACTCTGACACCGTCTAATTTAGGAGAAGTGAGGAAAAAAAACAACGAGCCCAATGTCTCTAATAAATATTAATTCAACACGGAACAAAGGGACGGATAAAGTGTCATTTTTCTCGCATGCAAAAAAAGCAATTAACATTCAGATCGAGGACCTTTTGTTCACTTATTAGAGGATGTAACGTTCATAATGAATGTTCAAAACACACACTTAGAGAGGAGCGTGCGTTCAGTCTGGATCTGAGTATCTGCACATCACAATGTGTGATATTTAAGAGTCTTAAGGGACCAAATCAAGACTCATCTCAGCGCTTTAAGGTGGTCTTTCTTCATGTACAGCCGTGATGTTTATTATCCAGGGAGTCATGGCTCTGATAAAAGAGAATGGCTGATGATGAAGACGAGCTTTCTTTGTGAAAATGGTGTTTGTGACCCTGCATTAATCAGGCTGTTTCCCCCACTCTGTGCAGCAGGGTTGCATATATAATGTTAATTCATGAATATTTTAATTGAAAGTTCAACTGGGCTCAGGACGGAAAGATTATCCTCATGTCTGAGTAGCATGGTGTTGGCTCTGAACCTCAGATAGTGGAGATTTTGTATATTTTTGGTTGGTAAAAAAGAAAACACTGCTTTATTGAGACCTAACATGGTTTACTGAGTTATTAAATCATGTGAATATTAGGTTTATGTGCTCATAGACTTCTATACAACTTATTTAGAGTCTCCTCCACAGATATTCTTATATAATTATTGAGACACTTCTTCATTGTCTTTGACTTCAGACTTGGAGGTTTCACAGAGGAAAAACTAAAAGTTCTTTGCACTCTTATGTGCGCCAGTAAATCCTCAAATTAAACACTGAGTTAAATCCTAGATCAAATGCACATTAAAGGGTCTTTAACACATTGTCTTCAGTGATTGTAATGTCATGTTATATGTCTTAATATTTGTCCTTGTTGACGTTGCAAATGGAGCTGCTGTGATGCAAAAAAACATTTCAGATCTGACAACAAAGCCTCTTATTGTATCGTTTTCCAAAGTTAGAACAAAACCACTAAACAGGATCTCCTTGCTCTATGACTTGTGATATTAATACACAAACTCAGGTGTGTTCAGGTGTAAAGATGTTAATGTTAAAGTGTCTCCCCTCCCTCCCCCTGCAGGGCCTGACTACATCAAACAGCCTCAGAAGGAGCCAGTGGAGATTAAAGAGGTCCCTGTTGAAAAGACGGAGAAAGCCAACAAAGATTCTCCCCAATTCTACCGAAAGGGCACGACTCCCCCTCGTTCCCCCGTGGCAAATGCCGTGGTCACGCCTCCCCCCTCGCCTCACTCCAGCAAGAAGAAGAAGGATCAGCTTCCCAACAGCAGCAGCAGCCGCAAAACCAGCAAGGAGGAGAAACCCTCCCGAAAAACCAGCAAGGAGGAGAAACCCTCGCATAAAACAAGCAAGGAGGAGAAGACGAAGTCAGGCAGGAAGTTGAGTAAAGAGGAAAGGGTCCCTGTTGCTGAGGCTCCCCCAAAACCTGCTAAATCTCAGCCTCCACCTGCATCTGCATCTCCTCCTCCTTCAGTCCCTGTTAATGGAGAGGTCCATAGTGAGTACCACAGCTACTACGTCAAAGCCCCAACGAGGGTCCGTCCACCCCCAGACCCCGAGGAGGATAGAGAAGAAGAGCCAACCATCCTGGATCTGGCACGAATGCCCCCACAGCCCCCAAAATCCTACAGCATCACTCCGAAACCTTCTCTACGGGAGAACAAGAGCGACCCCAAACTCAGGAAGCAGGATTCCCTAAAGCCAAAGAGCCTCGCAGACGCAAAGAAAGCCAGCATGGAGATCGCAGACAGCATGGAGGAGACAGTAAGTGCAGGAATGAGTCTTTAAACCTTGAAATAAGACAGCATTTCTGTAGTAAACACAAGCTTGAGAGATATTTACGTTTGGTTCTTTACTTTAAAAATGGCAGTTGCTAACAAGTGTCTAAATGAGACGACTAAATGCCAACACGGACAACGTTAGCCGCCTTTAGCTTAGCGATGGTGACGTGAAGTCATGTGACCGTGCTGTAGTTCCTTAATAGCCCAACATTAGCCACCTTTAGTTTAGCGGTGGTGACGTGAAGTCATGTGACCGTGCTGTAATTCCTTAATAGCCCAACATTAGCTTCCTTTAGCTTAGCGGTGGTGACGTGAAGTCATGTGACCGTGCTGTAGTTCCTTAATAGCCCAACATTAGCCACCTTTAGTTTAGCGGTGGTGACGTGAATTCATGTGACCGTGCTGTAGTTCCTTAATAGCCCAACATTAGCCACCTTTAGTTTAGCGGTGGTGACGTGAAGTCATGTGACCGTGCAGTAGTTCCTTTATAGCCCAACATTAGCTTCCTTTAGCTTAGCGGTGGTGATATGAAGTCATGTGACCGTGCTGTAATTCCTTAATAGCCCAACATTAGCCACCTTTAGCTTAGCGGTGGTGACGTGAAGTCATGTGACCGTGCTGTAGTTCCTTTATAGCCCAACATTAGCCACCTTTAGCTTAGCGGTGCTGACGTGAAGTCATGTGACCGTGCTGTAGTTCCTTTATAGCCCAACATTAGCCACCTTTAGTTTAGCGGTGGTGACGTGAAGTCATGTGACCGTGATGTAGTTCCTTTATAGCCCAACATTAGCCACCTTTAGCTTAGCGGTGCTGACGTGAAGTCATGTGACCGTGCTATAGTTCCTTTATAGCCCAACATTAGCCACCTTTAGCTTAGCGGTGGTGACGTGAAGTCATGTGACCGTGATGTAGTTCCTTTATAGCCCAACATTAGCCTCCTTTAGCTTAGCGGTGCTGACGTGAAGTCATGTGACCGTGCTGTAGTTCCTTTATAGCCCAACATTAGCCACCTTTAGCTTAGCGGTGGTGACGTGAAGTCATGTGACCGTGATGTAGTTCCTTTATAGCCCAATATTAGCCTCCTTTAGCTTAGTGGTGGTGGCGTGAAGTCATGTGACCGTGCTGTAGTTCTTTTATAGCCCAACATTAGCCACCTTTAGCTTAGCGGTGCTGACGTGAAGTCATGTGACCGTGCTATAGTTCCTTTATAGCCCAACATTAGCCACCTTTAGCTTAGCGGTGGTGACGTGAAGTCATGTGACCGTGATGTAGTTCCTTTATAGCCCAACATTAGCCTCCTTTAGCTTAGCGGTGCTGACGTGAAGTCATGTGACCGTGCTGTAGTTCCTTTATAGCCCAACATTAGCCACCTTTAGCTTAGCGGTGGTGACGTGAAGTCATGTGACCGTGATGTAGTTCCTTTATAGCCCAATATTAGCCTCCTTTAGCTTAGTGGTGGTGGCGTGAAGTCATGTGACCGTGCTGTAGTTCCTTTATAGCCCAACATTAGCCTCCTTTAGCTTAGCGGTGGTGACGTGAAGTCATGTGACCCTGCTGTAGTTCCTTTATAGCCCAACATTAGCCACCTTTAGCTTAGTGGTGGTGGCGTGAAGTTATGTGACCGTGCTGTAGTTCCTTTATAGCCCAACATTAGCCTCCTTTAGCTTAGCGGTGGTGGCGTGAAGTCATGTGACCGTGCTGTAGTTCCTTTATAGCCCAACATTAGCCACCTTTAACTTAGCGGTGGTGACGTGAAGTCATGTGACCGTGCTGTAGTTCCCTTATAGCCCAACATTAGCCTCCTTTAGCTTAGTGGTGGTGGCGTGAAGTCATGTGACCGTGCTGTAGTTCCTTTATAGCCCAACATTAGCCACCTTTAACTTAGCGGTGGTGACGTGAAGTCATGTGACCGAGCTGTAGTTCCTTTATAGCCCAACATTAACTTTTTACTTTAGAAATCATAAAGTGGTGTTAATATGTGGAGATTATCCTGCTGAAAAAAACGTGCAAGTATCATTAACGTTGAATAATCCAGAATCACATGGAGAAATCCCATTGGCTTTTTGTAGAGATGCTGCCTTCAGGGTCCAGACTCCACATTTTGACAAATAAAAGTCTCAATTAGAAACCAGGTAACTTGTGTCAGATGCTATCGGTTGGTAAGACTCACTACAACTACATGTCTTAGCTAATTTTACATAAACCATGAGCAGTCAAGTATAATTAATTCACATTTCTCGTAATAGCAAACAAGAGAGGTGACAAAAAGCAGACCTGAATACATTTCTATTCCTCGATGCTTCATATTTTCTCAGTCTGTATCAATGGTGTGATAGTTGTTGTATATTATTATGTAATATCTGGTATTAATCATAATGCCTTTTCTTTTTTGCAGGGTCCTAACTCGGTGCTTGTTGCTATGGTTATGCTGCTGAATATTGGCCTTGCAATTATATTTGTCCATTTTCTGACATGATGATGCTGTTTCTCAGGTACGTTCATTTATTCTACCGCACACTTTTATTCATCAGTTGTAAATGGAAACGCACGAGATGATTTAATGCAGAGGTGTTCAAAGTGAGAGGCTCCCTGAATGGATGTTACGTAATATTACAGTTAGTTACTCACAGAAGATCACATAGGGCTGCAACTAAGCATTAGTTTCATTATTGATTAACCTGTTCATATAATCTGGATCAAATGGTAGATTGATTGGTTTATAAAATGTAAAAGAACGACTATCAGTGTTCCCCAAAAATGTAAATATATTTTTACGTGAACAAGTTAAAGATATCAACTTAACTTTCAAAGAGGAGTAAGGAAAATGGAAAATATTGACATTTAAAAAGCACCAATCGACGTTTGTCTTTGTTTCTTTTTAAAACATCACCCAGACCAATGAATCCATAATTCAGAGTAATGTAATGAACCGATCTAGCCTAAACTTCGGGGGATTTTACTGTTCTTCCCATTGTCCGAATACAGAAACTGAGTTAAAAAATTGAAAGGACAGGAAATTAGTATGTTTAATGTGTACTCTGAAGTTAAACTCCCAATTTTCTCACGTTTATGGGATCAGATATCTAAGTTATGATCTCAAAGGCATCCAGGAATTGAGCAAAAGTAAACCAGTAAAGTAAGGTTTACTTTGCCGAAGTGAATACGCACAGTTTCAGACTTTAAACACCCCTGAATTATGTATTTATAAGTATTTACAAATATGAATCTGACCTTTTTATACTCCATGTGTCATTAGATCCACCCCTACTTCTACTTTCTTGTTTATTTCTAGTCTTTACATTGTTATTGTACAATAGCCGCGTTCACACCGCAGTACTTTTCCCACTTTAGTTCCGATATAGTTCCGAAATGTCGCGTTCACACTAAAAAGAGCCGGAACTCAAATTAGTTCATGAGAACCTTTTTCTCCCCCCTCCGTCCCTGCTAGAGAGCAGGGACTTTCGTGGGAGGAAAAGGTTCCTGTGCCTGATTGGCTGGGCGGATTGCAAACCATGCCGCGTAAAACTCCCAAAAGGTTTTGTGAAGCCGCCATTTTATTATCCTCGCATTAGCATTATTAGCATTAGCATTAGCGCAGAAACGCAGAGAGACTAACTTATGGCAACACAAAATAAAACATGGGAGCAGTGGAGATGAGGAGGTGTCTGCGTTCTGGCGATTTACTCGGAAGGCTTCAGTAGAAGCTGCTGGGAGTCCCAGCAGCTTCTACTGAAGCCTTCCCCAACTCCGGGGACTTCCGGCCGGGGACTCCGGGTGGCAGTATACACGTGAAGTGGTTTGCGGCCTGCCAGTAAACCCAAAGCAGAAGAAGAAGAAGTGACGTCAGCGGCTTCATTTGCCTTCCCCAGGAACTTATTCCGGTGTGAACGCGATCTGTCCTTAGTTCATGAGAACTAAAGAGTTCTCAGGAACCTTTGTGGGAAAAGTACTTGGTGTGAATGCGCCTAATGCCATGTCTTTTGATGCTGCTGCGATGCCAAAATGTCCCAAATTGTGATCAATAAAGAACTTCTTATCTTATCTTCATGTTGCAGTGAAACCTTCGCGACCGGTACAGTTGCATCGCCGGCCTTGAAAAAAGAAAATGGCGCCCAGTGAGACACGGGGTGGCGGCCGTAGGAGAATCAGGAAGTGAAGGTGAAGGCCCCCCCCAAAAAACACCACCCTGTCAGGGGCCTTTTCTTCGGGGGCCACACCTGTCGATTAGCAGCTCCTCCTGGGGGGGAAATGTCGTGTCTAGTGAGATGATAAATAAAAATAAAAAAAGTTTAAAAATGCAAAACCACACAGTGTGGGAAACGGACGGTCGCAGGAGTGTGGAGATGCACTTTGAAATATGACAGGAGCAAACAGCTGCCTTTCTATTTTACCATCTGACGTTTTGATGAGGAGATGTGAGAAGGCGACCCTTTTGGGGGGGGCATCGCTGAGGGAGGGGCTCGTTTTCTGGGGTTACACCAAATCCTGCACGAGGAAACTGCTCCACGGTCACTCAGTCTTACTCTGTTCACACAACTCCCTCCACCGTTACCCAGGATGCACTGCTCTGAAACCTCCCCGTGCATGGTACAGTTTTAACATCTCGTTTCTTTTCTTTTTGATTGTTGTTGAATGTTGCTAGTAGTTGAAAAAGGAACATTTCTCCCCACTCTCATTTAGTTTTCCCCCTTTTTCGTTTTATTAAGTTGTAATTTGACATTACACGTTACTGAAAGTGCAATATGTTTTATTTTTTCAAAGAAAAGCTTATAGTATATTTTGCCAAAAGGAAAAAAGAAGGGGGGGGTAAAGTAATATATTAAAGAAAATCCTTATTTTCCATTTATTTTGTCAGACTCTCATCATTTAAATTCTCTGGTTTTGAGCCGGTTGTGTTGAGGAAGGAGGTTTAAAAGCTACGTAGCTCTGAGAGAGTGAAGTAACAAATGTCTTATGTTATTTATTAAACCAGAAGGAAGGAAATGAAGCAGTTTGAGTTCCTCTGTTCTTTTCGTTTTGCTTTGAATGTCTCCACTAAAATGCAAAGACTGGGTGGGTCGGATGGATCAGGAAGTTGGGTTTATTCAGGTCGAGGCCATGGGGAATGTGGCGCCAGGGAGAGATGCCTTTAAAAAGTCTTTAACAGAACTTCTGTTTACCTCAGAAAGAGATGAGGAAGGGGGAGGGGAAGAGATGCCGTCCTTGTCTTAACTTTGTCGTCGTGCGGGGGATATTCGACTGTTGTCATCGCCTGACTCACGCTTTAGAGCCTCTGTTAGTAGTGTTTGTTGCAGAAATGGCATGAGTTTCTTTGATTTAAAAAAAAGTGGTTATTTATATGCATTTTTCTGTCATCACGACCGAGGTTGATTATTTATTCAATGTACAATCGATGGTCATCATTTAAAAACAAAAAGGGCTTTCTATGGTTTTATTTGCTGCACACATCACATATGGAGTAGCGTCAGATATTAGCAAACAATATATTAAAATGTGGACATCAACGCAGACCAGGACACTAAATTATTTAAGATTTTACGACAAAATGTGATGCATTTTTCACCCTCCTTTTGCCACGCCCTCTTTTCTTGTTTTAACGTCTTCACCAGAGCGCGGTGGAGCTTCGGAGGGTTTAACAGAACAGTGTATGGGATATTTTTGGAAATGCAGCATTGCATGTTGGAGTCATTTATATATAGATTATTATATACTATTTGTAAGGATTTTTACAGAGCACAATCCAGAATCTGGTATATGAGTTGGTATTTTTCTAACAATTTGCACACCTGTATTTTGACAATGAATATAACTTGTTTGTAATTGGTAATGTAATGCACATATGATAATGTTTGACAGTGGATAAAAAAATACTTTATTTCTAATTGGTTGTACTGTATGTACCATTTTGGGGATGTGAAAGGCAGATGTATTGTTTGAGTATTTTCGGAAATGACGAGGAACTGCGGGAGACTTTTGATATCTCAAGGTTCATGTTACCCCACTGATTTGTGCAAAGTCTTTGGAGATGAAGTTATGTGTATAACAATAAAGTTGTTATGCCTTGTTAAAACAGGTGTCTCATATTTATTTGCATGTACTATACCTTTTACATTTCCTGTGGTGTGTAATATAGAATTTGGTGCATGTAAATGGTCTGAAAAGGCAGTTTCTCTCCTCCCTGAAATTATGAGACATTTTCAGACGCAATTAGACAGAATTGGGCAAATAAATGTCTTAATGTGTATTTTGTATGTTTTCTATCCCACTAGGTTTATGTGTGTTTGATAAGTCTAAAATATGACATGTTATGGAAGCAAAATATCACAAAATCTTAAATTTGGTAGTGCATGAAGATACTAAAGCACCTTATAGAGCATATACCGTTTCATTGCCGTCATAATAATGGGTTCAATTTATAAAGCACTTCATATTTGATTTCAAATCCCGAAGTGCTACAAGTAGTGAGCATGAACAGTATAAACAAACATTACACAACACGGTAGAATTAAAAAAAAAGCAATAAATAAATAAAAGGGTGATAAAGAGGTCTAGGAAAAGGCTCTTTTGAAGAGATGGGTTTTGAGGCCTTTTTTAAAGCCTCCACGGTCTGTGGTGCTCTCATGTGGTCGGGGAGAGCGTTCCACAGACTGGGAGCAGCCGAGCAGAGGGCCCGGTCTCCCAATGGTACGGAGCTTAGTCCTGGGGGGTTTGAGGAAGTTGGAGTTGCTGGAACGGGTGGTCCGCAAGGAGGTATGGGGGGGTGAGGAGTTCCTTGAGGTAGGGAGGGGCAGTTCCGTACAATCCTACAGGTGCATTTAAATCGATGGACTCCCTCTTGTCTGATCAGAATGTTTTCAATTCCCCGTCTCATGTTCACTTCTGTGTATCGTCGAGGTTCATCCTCTCCTCTGATTTTTAGAGAAATGCTCAGACGCAATTGGACAAAATTGGTCAAATGAATGACTTAATGTGTATTTTGTCTTCTTTCCCACTAGTATGATTATTTGTGTTTGATAAGTCTCAAATTTCACATGTTATGGAAGCTTTTTGCTTCGATGGACTCCCTCTTGTCTTATCAGAATGTTTTTAATTCCCCGTCTCATGTTCACTTCTGTGTATCGTCGAGGTTCATCCTCTCAGCGACGCTGGCCTCACGCTGACCTTTTCATAATGAGGTCCGGGGGGAAAAGAGGAGGCAGTAAATCAAAGCATCTTCTGCGAGGTCTCACATTAACGCGGCAGGTGCCTCAGCTTGTCTCGGGTCAGTTTGTACCGTTTCCACCGCTGATCACGCCGGGATTAGTGTTGAGTTACAGCAACAGACACACTTACACACACAGACACAGAGACACACACACACACACACACACACACAGAGACACAGACAGACAGAGACACACACAGACACACACACAGACATGCACACAGACAGAGACACACACACACAGACAGACACACACACACACACAGACAGACAGAGACACAGACACACAGACAGAGACACATGCACACACACACACACAGACAGAGACACACACAGACAGACACACACACAGACACACACACACACAGAGAGACACACACACAGACAGACAGACACACACGCAGACAGACACAGACAGACAGACACACACATACACAGACAGACACACACACACACAGACACACACACACTACAACCTGCAGAGAGTTACCATAGTGTGAATTTTGGAGCAGTAAATATCAGCTCATAACTCCCATTGCTATTTGTTTATCATAATACCACATATGATGTGTTTATGTTGTCTCGTGTGTCACGTCAGGTGTTCCTCGAGCCTCAGCAGGAATATTCTGGCGCTCCTCTCGTGAAGATGAACTCGTCAGTAATAGCATAGAATATCTCTGTTACTATTCTGATGTGGCGCAGCATGCTGGATACGATTTGGTTGCACAAGACAAATATAAACCAAAACCTTATAAGTGTATCCTTCCTTCATGGAGGCCGTTTAGCAGAATGTGGCGACAGGTCTGATTTTTATCAGGCCGGACGATCTACAATTATCTTGTTTATAATCAGCAAATGTAGATCAACTCTTCTGGGAACACGCTCAATTAGGCCTGTGGCTATAATTATGCTATCGATTTATCGTGCAATATATGGGCAGAACTCTTCATCTCTGCTCACCTTAATGTTGCCCTTTGCCCAGGTGTCTTGAGGTCAAATTGGGCATGCACAAAGTGGATAATTCACTGCATAAATTCGATTTTTATGAATTAATTGTGGCAGCAATAACGAGTTTGGTGGCTCCCTATGGGTGGCTCATGTAGCCGCTAGGGATCATGGGAGTTGTCATTCTCACAATCATTGCAGTCGGTTAAGATTGTATTCAGTGAGTAAACTATCGCTTTAAACGTTATATATATCAGTTTTCAACAGACGACCACAACGCTGATGCATGCTCAAAGGTAATACGCCATTGGGGAACATGTAAGTACACAACTATATACTGTATATGTGCCCTCGAAAAATGTAAATATGTATTTAAATGAAACGTATATTGTCAGCAGGTTCCATGTAATTGAATAAGGTTAGTTAAAATCCGAACTAATACATTATATTAAGTGTAAAATTAATCTTACTCGCTTTTTTGAAAGTAAGTCTAGTTGTTTTAAGAAAATATAATGCGGTAAAGTTGCATACAATTCCCTACAAAATAATTGTTTCGCCAGAAATATTCAAAAAAATGTAAGCCAATAACAAAAGTAAACACTATAAATTAACATCCTCCCACTTAATTAGCATTTTTTTTAATTATTATTAATAAATAAATGCATGAATACATAATAATATATAAATAAATAACAAAGATATTTTGATCAAGGTATTGGTAAAAAAGTATATATATTATTTATAGTTCCTCAATAAATGAACAGTTAATGATTGTTTTATTAAATACAATAATGTAATTGCAGTATTATATATTATTCAAACCAATCAATTAATAATTAGTCGATGTGAATTTGCAGCTTTCCAACACATTAGCGTTTGTTAACGTTCGTAATCACTTGTCATTATTACAGATTACTCCGTGTTATTCTGTGTAATAACACGGAGTATCGTGTGTCTGTGGGAATATTTGGACATTCGGTATAAACACGTCTGGCCTCTCAGATTTGAGTTTCTCATATGTCTGTAAATTTAACTTCTGACTGTTCTTGCGTATGCGTCTGAAATAGATTACGGCTTGTAAGCAGTGAGGGGATATCGCTGCTGCTAAGACATCAGTATTAAGCAGATCACTTTACCATGCCTGGCATAGCTTAGCATAGCATCGCTTCATCTGTTATATTTACACAAACAAATCTCAGCCCCCGTAAAGCTATCACTTGGCATTTTAAGTTAACGATTATAGAGTAAACAACATTTTCTCTCTGTGTCCTACACTCATGCTGATTCTGATTAAAGACTGTTCGTGTCGTGTTTATCTGAGCACATGTTGAGAGGTTTTCTCATCAGTTTGAGTCCTTACAGTTCAAGCTAACTGAGACAAAAGCTCGTCCCGTCCGTCATGGGAAGCTTCCATACATGTGTAATGTACAAGGGCAATACTATTGAATTAATGCACTTGTTATCATGGTAATATAAGGGTAACACACTGTTTACTTATGGCCGTTAAGGGCTTCCATATGTGATTATAAAATGCTTTTAATGTGTTATTATCAGAATTACAAACGCTCGTCACGTCCGTCATGGGAAGTTTTCACACATGTGTATCGGGGCAATACTGCATTGTAGACAACAAATATTTGTTATCTCATTATCTTGGGAAGAATATTTATATTATTTTAGTATTTACATAATATTTAACAAATAAAACACACTTGTTATAATGGTAATATAAGGGTAAACACACTGTTTAATTATGGCCTTGAAGGGCTTCCGTACATATGTGATTATTAAATGCTTCTAATGTGTTATTTTCAGAATTGAAATAGGGAAATTGTGTAAAATAAATATTGATATACACATAAAAAGGAAATGGTCCAATAACAAAAATTAAGAGAATACAACTATGTGTGTAAACATGAGAAGTTAAATTAAAATCTTGAATAAAAAATATATAAAATATGTTTAGAAACATAAGAGAATAAAATTGTGATATAATATAATACATACAACTACATTCAAACATTACAAATATATATAAAACATAAGAAGTTAAAAAAAAAAGTCTAATAAAAAATCAAATAAATTAATAGAATGAAAGAAAACATATAACAATACAGAGCGATAAGAGGGTTATAACACATTAAAATCATGATGCACTAAAGACATGTGGTGTTCACTGGTTATTGCTCAGTCATTGTGTCAGTCAGCTATTAGCTTATTAGATTCATGAATAATTCAATTGTGTAATATTTGTATTATATTACATCCAAGAATCACAGAAGACAGCTGTGTGTCAGAGTTACTGATTTACCAGTAGTGAGTCTGCATTCAATCCTAAATAAAAAAGGGATTGTTATGATTATACATTACATTTAATCATCTAGACTTTCATGCAAAGAGACATGATTGTTGGTGACGATGTTTCACGGAGACATTAGGAGCAATATGAGATTATGAGGGCACTGAGGTTTGCTCCAGGCTGAAGGGACGTTCTCCTCAAATCCATTGTGACAACGTTTCCCTCTTTTCACTGAAGAGACGCCCAAAGACATCTCCCCCATCATCAGGACCTTCTGACCTGGTTTCATTCTACTAAACTATTGTCCTCTGCATACATTATTATAACTGGTGGTATAAAGAAGTAGAAAATTAGGTTTGATAGTCAGATTAATACGAGACCTACTTACCCACTTTCAGGCCCGCCTTAACCTGCCATCAGGCCCTGGGGCTTTGTAGGCCCCCTATTTAAACAACAAATCAAAGTAATCTATAGCCTCGGCAGGCTCTGACACACACACACACACGCACACCGCTGCCGCTCGGTACAGAACTCATCTGTCCTTCCTCCTCATCCTGGCCTACAGGTTTAAAATAACCTGTAAGCTTCGGCATTTCATTTAATAGCTGCTTGTCTCGAAACT